GGAGCGCCGCCGCGCTTCCCAAGCGGCGCACTATCCAGTGCGCCACCGGGCCGGCCCTAAATTTTTTTTTATTAGATGACAATTTATGAGAATCATAAAACAACTTAATTTTATTCCTCCTACTGCACCAAGTCAAAAGCTCTTCAGCAAAAAGTTCAAGAAACATTACTGGGATTCCTCAAGAATCAGCAGCTTGTTCTATCCATTAAATGTGTGGTAACTTATGTCAGGCTCTGTTATGAAGCTCTCTCTGTGCCCGCACCTTACAGGAGAGGCTGTCGTAGAACAGGGCCTTCTGGTACCTGAGTAGCTAGGCCTCCTTAGAGAAGCCCCCAAGATTGACACCCACGTCAAGCCCATGCTCCCTGGCCTGACAATGTAAGGCCTGCATGATCTGGCCCCTTCCTATCTTTCCTACCTCCTCCCAGCCTCTTTGTTTCACTTTATTTTGATCTTGCTGCTTCAGGATGCCAGGGTTTTGTGCATGCTGTTCCCTGTGTCTACAAGTTCTTTTCCCATCTTTGCCCAACTTCTCCTGATGCTGTTATCTTCCTCTCCAGGAAGCCTCTCTTTGCCAGCAGATTCCCAGGTTAGCTTCTCCTCTGTGTTGTCAGAACATCCTGGGCACATCTCTTCTATAGAACTTACCACGTTATGTATAGTGTTTATTTACATGTTTTTCCCTCTTTTTCTGATCAATGGTCTCCAAAATTAAGTGATGCACCCAGGAAGGGGAGGGAGTAGCACAGGGAAATCCACAGGGCAGAAGCTTAAAATATACATGCATTTATTTTTTTATCTAATATTTTTTTATGTTTTGTAATAGCTGTAATATGTAAACATAGGAGTATCTGTTCATTTATTACAGTTACACGTATTGATACTTCAAGGGTGTCTGAGCAATATGTTTTTACTCTTAGCTTCCCTGAATTATGTGTTTCTCCAGAGCACAGACTGTCCTTTATTCATCTTTCAATGTTTAATATATGATTTAAAAATGACTGCTGAGCTAAAACCAAGATCTAAACCCTCCTCCCTTCCACAGAAGACTGGGAGAAGCCAGGGCACAATCACCAGAACCAACTGCTCCACCCTCGAGCTTCGAAAGGCCCAAAGACTCAAAGTTCATGAGTGAGCTCAGGAAAGCAGTTGGCAAGAACATATTGCTTGCTGCCAGCGATGATTTCCTTCCTTAATAGCAGGATTCCCTCCTACTGAAAGGAAAAGTCGCTGGCCAGTTTGCTCGCTTGGTTAGAGCATGGTGCTGATAACACCAAGGTCAAGGGCTCGGGTCCTCATACTGGCCAGACACCAGAAAACAAACAGAAAAACCTGCTTGAAAGGAAAAGTTGTCATGGTAGACAACAATGAAAGGAAGATTATTTAGGAGCATCTTATTTGAACAGCACATTGCAGCTATTTGGCAAAACTGACTCCATTTTTTTTTACCTTGTTGATGTAATAATGTCAAAATGTCTTTTTCAGTAACACCAGCTAATATACTTTTGAGTGACTGTGTTTTTTGATTATTCTTAAATTGACTTCTATCCTTTAGGAAATAATTTAACTGTAAAGCATAACCTAAGAATTAAATCTGTTACATAACAAAGAAAAAGTAATTTTTCTAATTTGGAGAAAAAAAAATTTATATACTAATCATTGAATGAGAATTAGCTTTAAGGAAAATAGTTCAGATTGCATTTTATGATACGTAAACAATTAAAAGATTTTATGAAACCTTATTTTTAGCAAGGAGATATGACAACTTACACTTTAACACTTCTAAATTGAAAATATAGATGTATTTTTTCCTTCTTAAATAAAAACCACTTTATTTTATAACATTATAGAGCCAGGAATTAGTGCCAACACATGATTGTATTTCTCACCCTGGCCCTAAATCACTGAGGTGAACTTTTTTTCTCTGTTGTATGACTTAATCTGATTCACTTAAATGGCTGAAATCTAACTTGCATTAAATATAGAGCTATAATTATAAATTAAATAACTTCTCCCAAAAGGCAGTTTCATCCCTCAGAATGCTTATTCCCCCAAACATATGTCATATTTTACTTAAGAAATCACAGTTTTGATTCATTCAGGGTTTAAATATATAACATAAAATTTATGTCCCTGTTTTTTGACAATTTTAGTTAAGAGCTGGTACCATTTAAAATGTCAAAAACCCCGGTCCTGCAGATGTTATACAGATGTCTATTTCAAGCAGTGTTGCTAACTCAAAATAAATAAAAGGCATTGTTAACCAATACAAAAATGCAAAAAGTTATAACTGTATAAATATATAGTAGTATGAACCATTGGGGCCAAGTTTCAGAAATCTATCAGGCCTCTTGCATGTGATTTTATGCCCACAAACTAATTGCACACATATATGAATCTTTGTGCATGCAACTGGCCACTTGGTTTTTTATTCCTAGCTACAAGTGGCTAAGAACGGCCTTAGTTTGTGCAAAATTAGCTTTGAGCAAGGTTCAGGGGTAGAGAGTGTCTGAGGTGGGGGTGGGATGCATGTGCTGTTAGATACACAGGGGCCTGATGAAAACTTGCCCCTTCAAGAGATTATTAGATATAACCTCATTAGGAGAAACACATTTATGTCCTGTTAGAAAGAAAATGGACCATTTTTTTGTTTGTTTAAACATAATCTCTGTCAACACATGAGCCCACTGAATAAATTCAGCTTTTTGAAATCAATATAAATTCAATATAGCAACCAGTGTGTGGCTTTTCCTATACATGCTACTAAAGAGACCTTTGGACCATATTTCATTTTCAACTGATAATTTTGTGTTGACCTCACCTAATATGATAAAAGGATTGGCAAACTAGAGACTCAGAGACCTCACTTCTGGTCCAGTCTTGTCATTAATGTCATAACCAAACTTTTGTTATTTCACTCTGGGACTCAGTTTACCTTGTCTGTAAAACAAGAGGGTGGACAGGACAAGCTCTAAGCTCCTTCCGACTCCATACAAGTGATTCTAAACACCACTGAGTATGAATCTCTGTGAAGAAGAGACTCTGCCTTTACTCTTAAGCAGGTTTTTCTGGAGGAATTCATCAGCAAAGGTTAAACTTTAGGCTTCTAAACTTCTAAACCAAATGGTATTAGAAGGAGACAAGCAAAGACGTGAAGGAGGTTGATTATTGATTACAAACCATGCATGCCAGGGCAAAGTTAGAATTAGAAAGCAAGATATATTCTGAATGAAAAAGACCAAGAAGTTATAAAAGAGATTTGGCTGGAGAAATGGGTACTTGAGGATAATCTTCATTTTGCCATTCAGAAACCAGCACCTCTCCTTTCTGTGTTGTGTCTTTTAGTAGTATTGCCATTTTGTCTGTCTGGAAACTTTGGCAACATCTTTCATCCAGCAGACCCTGTTGTTCTCTAATATGTGCAGCCTATTGTAGAGGCCAATCAGCTCTTCAGTCTCACTCCTGTCAGGCCTATTTCTTCACTGTCCCTAGAGTACACCCCTTCCACATCTCCAAATCTTACCTATCCATAAAGACCTGTTCACATTTTACCTGCTCCATGGGATCTTCCAGAAAACTCTGACCTCCATGACTCTCTCTTTATTCTGAACTATCATAGCTTCCTTGGGGTGGAAGTTGGGGTGAAGGAGTAAAATATATTCATCAACTACTAGGTATCAGGCACTATGGAAAATGCTATACATATTTTCCTTATAGAGAAGTAAATTTAATCATGAAAAGATTAAGTAATTTGTCCAATGTAAACAGTGGGTCTCAACCTTGACTACATATGAGAATCACCTGAAAAACATTAAAAAACATTAATACCTGAGTCCCATACCCAGTGATTCTGATTTAATCAGCCTGGGGTACAATCTGGGCATGGGGATTTTAAAAGCTTCCCAGGTGACTCTAAAACACAGTCAAGGTTGACGTACACAGGGCTCGTTGGAGGCAGAGTCCAGGTGTGCGTGTCTCCAAAGCCCAGGCTCTTTCACTACCACACATATTTTTACTCAATTATGCATTACCTGTTATTATGCTATAATTCTTTTACATCTACAAATTGCAGCCCTCTAACCTGATTATTAAAATTCTTGAGGTTTAGCATTATAGTTAAGAACATGGGCTCTGGAACAGACTGCCTAGCTCAAATCCTGCTTTTACCACCTACTAGCTTGAGGATCTTGGACAAGTTACTGAGTCTTGATTAGGGAGATGATAATAAGGTTGTTATGAGGTTTAAATGAGTTGATATATTAAAGCAGTTAGAATATCCCTGGCATCTGGGAGGTGCTGTGAAAATGTTTGCTATTTTTAAAAATTACCATATTTTGACATCAACAGCACCTAACACCTCAGCAGGTACCTAGTTAACATATTAAATTAAAATCCTCCTAGAGAGTGATATGTATGTGAAGAATTGCAGAATCATTCATCATTCCTGAAACTGTGTAGCGTGTACTTCGTGGGTAGACACTGATTGAACAAGGCAGTTTTCTGGAATTCTCATTACATTTAAAAATCAAAACAGAGAAAAAATTCTATGGTAAGAGGAGCAAATAAATGCACATTACTTTTGAGTTGTTCTGTATTTCTGCTTCAATTGGCATTATATCCTCCAAATTGATTCTGTTGTACATTTTCTTCACTTCGTTAGAATTCCCATGTCCTTTGCTTCCTATTTTCTTTTATTCTCCAAGTTTCTCTCTCTTAATATACCCACACTTTTTTTCCTTTCTGTGGTCAATCAGTGAGAGCCATAAACTATATCCCCTTTTATATTTGCATACTTATAATTATTTCCACTCACATAAACACTCACATATCAATTCTGACATCCCTGAGATCATGAATGTAAAATGCAATATATTCATCCCCTGAAAGTAGAAATTCTTCCCATTAAAATTTATATTACACCAGATACTTTTGTTGGCAGCATCACAAGTCACAACCAGAATGGATAGCGTTTTTAAATTTTTTCCTTTCTAACTCAAAAAGTTGCTGGGAATATTTAGCTTCTCAATATTTGAAGGGAAAACACAAGTAAGACCTGTAGGGTAGAGAAGGTGATTGTCAGAGACATCATTGTATTCTCCACCACGGAGAGAAATAACTAGTTCATATTTGTTTATGTAATATGCTATGTTCACACACCATTTCTGAAAAAATGAACAAGGAAAAAATGAAAATAAAATTATTTATTGACTTTTTAAAAATAAATTGTTAATGTATTAATTCACACTGAAAGGTGAAGTGTTTTGAATACATGTTATTTTATCAAAGAAATAGGAAAGATCTTCAATGTACAGAGAATATTCACTTATGTACAGAGAATATACACTTACTTTATAAGCCTTTACTAAAGTTTGTGACCTACTTTGCACCTGAACTCCGCTAGGAACCAAATGTAAATACGATATTGTGACTGTGCTAGGTCCTTTAAAGACATTATTCCATTACATTTTCACCAATCATGTCATGGGTACATGTCTCATCTAATAAATGAAGAAGCTAAGGTGACACAGCTAGAAAGAGGTGAAGAGATTCACACAAAAAGGCCATCAATCAAATGAAGGAATAATTAAGTCATCTTCAAAATAATACATTATCAGAATACTGAACTAGATTTCTTGTATCTTAAATCTCTTGAGAGCAGAGAATATACATCTATTATTGTGTTGGTAACCTAGACATGTAGGCTAATAAATATTTGAGGCCAACTGCCAATTTTGGAGGCTCCCAATCTACTTTGGTCCTACTGAAGTGCTTGACTGAAGTAAGTAATGATTGGGCAGTACCTGATCACTTAGATTTTTTAATATGTATACAGTTTCATGGAACAGAGCTCGTATTTTATTCAGCATTAAGTGTGTTATTTCAGAACATTCCTACCTGTTACTATTCTATTTGGCTGGCAGGAGTCCATGCATTGCTCCACTGGATTTATATGATAAGAATGGTCCTCCCATTGTAATCTCTATAATGGTGTGCCATAGCTGAATTCTAAAGTGCCTTTCAAACTACAATTTCACCAGTAGAAACTGAACAAAAAGAAGTTTTGCCATCTATTCCAGGCCAGTGGATTGTGCCGTGCCTAAGTTGTTCAGACAACAGGACCTGTGACTGGAGAGAAATAACGTGGCAGCCCCACAACTGCCAATATGGTGTCCTAACTAAGCCCCAACTCCAGCAGTGCCTGAGAGGAAGGAAGGTAGGTTCTGGATCTAGTGGGGGAAGCCTTTAGTTTTTGCTACTTGCAGCACCGAAGGTCATACAGTTGTAACTTACAGACCAATTCCCGCTCTCTCACTCTGTAGAGGATAACTAGCTGAATGCAATTTGGCTTTTTAAATCATGCATAGATGTTATCATGGAAAAGCCTTAACATTTTTTGCTCAAAATATTCATTTTTTTTCCAAATAAATCTATTTGACAGATGGAGAATATTAAAGTCATGTCTTGTGCTGACCCAATTCCATGCAATTTTCTCAGCATAAATTGGTAGGATCTTGCCACGTCAACTGACAGTTGGCAGTTCTGAGCAGCTGGCCTTGTCAACTACAGCTGTAGCAGGCGCTGCTCTTAAAACAGACCTCTGTAGCTCAACATAAGAAAACCAATGTTTCTGCATGCAAGACTCACTTCTTCTAGAATTTACCAAGTGCATGACATTGTTTTGACACACTAACCTTGCTGATCTTCTTTCACATTCCTGGGCAGGTCTCACATGGACCTCACTAGGCTGGTCTTTCCTTTAGTGAGGCTTCTAAGCTGAGTTCTGGGACATGCAGTGTCTTCTTGCTAGGCATGCTCTGACTAGGTAGAGTCTGGCAGAACTCTCGGACATGTGAAATGGGCACATAGACTGAGATGCTTGGTTAACATCAAGTAAGTAATCCTTAACCAGATTTTCAAAGTACTTTTTATTAGATGGACATTTCCTTATACATTGTAAGCTCTCGCACATGCGCAAGGCATTTCAAAAAATGGATTTTTACAAAGCTCTGTTAATGTGTAAAGAATAGAGCACCGGGCAGAATGTATACCAAATTTTCTACTAGCAACTAGTTTCTAGTATTTACAGACAGTAAGTGGCAGGGCAGGAAGATGGATGTCTTCTTCATGGTGATTTCAATTAAAAATGTCCCAATTTTTTATGATTGAGAATATCTCTAAAGATGAAGCAGCAGTATTAGTTACTTTGAAAAAGGGTAGGGAAGAAAACAATCATTTAGAAACTTAGGTTGCTAACAGTATTAACTGCACATTGATTCTGTGTAAGAACTATGCTCCTAACTTTCCTATACCTTAAATCCCACCAGCCTGTAAGCTTCCTGAGGGCAGGGGATGTGTTTCATTCACTGCTGTATCTCACTGCTGAGCACAATTTTTGAAATATAGTAGTCACTTAATAAATATCTATGGAGTCAATGAATAAATTAAAATCTTGTTTTCCCTAATCACAACTCTGTGAGGTAGATATTATTATGTCTGTCTTCTACTTAAGAAAAATAAGCTCAGAGAGATTGAGTAATTCACCCGTGATCATGCACGCATATGAGTGGCTACTACTTGGGCATTTTTAACCATCAGCTTGGACAGTCTTAGACATGCCGCACTGGAAACAAGGACAATAGCTGTTGCCACGATAGCCAGGCTTCTCTAAACTTAGAATACCATTCTGACCTCAGAATTTAGAGTGTTCAGGACAATTCCAAGAAGATGTCACAGTCTATTAACCTGAAAAGCAGTAGACATTAATTTAAGCTCATCACTAAATTCCATGGCTTTGGACATAACACATACTGTTTCTCAGGATCATGTTCATCTGTAAAGTAATAAGAAGCATATGATCTAACCCTCTGATGTAGATTAATCAACTTTGTAGAAAGCTAAAGACTTTTTTCCCTGTCTGTCTTAGCTCAGGCTGCTATAATAAAAAGTCATATCCTGGGTGTGTTAACAACCCACAACCTCACAGTTCTGGAGGCCAGGGAGTCCAAGATTAGGGTGCCAGCATGGTCAGGTTCTGGTGAAGACCCTCTTCTAGTCTTCTGTTGGCTGCCTTCTTGCTGTGTCCTCACATGACAAAGAGAAAGATATCTAGTCTCTTCCTCTTCCTATAAGAGCAATAATCCCATCATGGGAGCTGCACCCACATGACCTCCTCTAAACATAATTATCTCCACAATCCACCACCTGCTAGTAAGATCACATGGGAGATTAGGGTTCCAACATTTAAATTTGGAGAGGACATAAACATTCAGTCTTTACTAATTGTCCTTACTAACTGTCTTTACTAATTTCAAGACAGATTATTAACAACTCTACAAAGTAATGATTTAAAAAAAAGGCGAGGGGGGGAGATCACTTTTTCCTACCTATTATCAAGAGCGAAATCTGCAAAGAAAGGTCTATGTTCAGATTAAGAGACCTCACTGCATAGCAGAAAGGGCTTATCTTAGTGACTCTTCTGGCCCAGAGGCAACCTTCAGACCTGTGTGCTCAGAACTCAAATTTACCAGTACACTGGCAATGGTCCTGCAGAGTCTAATTTGTCTAGCAGGATGCTAATTTATTCTGTATGCAGCAGGGAAGCACTGTCCATTTTTAGCAGAGAAGTGGTACAACCAGAATCAGAAAGACCATCATCCAACTGCAGTATTTCTCCTACCTAAGGGAAGGAGAAAATGGTTGCTAGGGAGTCAGAGTCTGCTTAACGGAAAAATTTCAACATGCAACACTGAGGAGGCAAAGCAAGTATAGACTGTGAACAGAAAAATCCCATGGATGTAAAAACTAATGCATACATACAAACATGCTTACACACAGAAAATTTCTGGAAATAATAGCATTAAGAGTAATCACATACATGGAGGGGAATGGAAGAAGGATAGGGTGCAAAATAAAAATGCAAAACCTTGTGTTCAAAAATTATTAAGAATTTCAAGACAGCAGCAGAACAATAAACTAGCAATACACCAGCACAAGACCCTTTAGATCGCGGGGACTTATGAGACTGCCCAGGTCCTATGCCCACGAAGCCAGCTCAAGGAGAAAGCATGCCTGGTGAAGCATGAAGAGATCTTTTAAAATATTTCTGTATCATTTTCATTTTTATAATATGTGAGCCATTATTTTCTTAATGTAAAAATCTATATTTTAAAAGACAGTATAAATCAAAACTAGGGCAGAGGCAGTGGAAATGCAAAAAAGGGGAAACCCAAGGAAGGTAGTAGTTGCATTCAGAATTATAGGACTTGGTAATACACGGTCAGGTGCGCACACTCATGTGCCACACACCACAGAGATAATTGTGTAAATGTTCACAGTGACAACCATGACATAGTGCTTATTTTGAGAAAGCTCCATTTATAAATAGGAGTAGGCAAGCAAGTGGTTTCTATTTCTCACTTTCCATGAGAATAATAAAAATATACAAAGTGATCCTGTAACTCTTATCTTTCATTCCTAAAACAAGTAAGTTCTCATCCTACCTAGAATTTCCTATAGTCAGCATTCCATTCCAAAAACATAAATGTTAAAGCATTAACAATCACAAAAGTAGAACAACAAGTAATATAACTATTCTGTTTTTAAACACATTATATCTGACTTTTTTTTTTCATCTCTTCCTACCATGTCAAATATTCAAGGAAAGAAACTTATTATTTGAACATTATACAGAAATTCACTTTACATATGCCCAAGGACAGCAAGGTAGTACTGAAGTAGTAATGGCCTAAGACTAACAATTAAGAAGCCTGAGCTATAGTTCTGATCCCACCAGACAAAGTGATTTTTATATTCATTAAATCCATCAGATTAATTCTGCTGCCTCATGTCAGAAATCCAGCAATATCAGTTGTCTCTAACATGTTATCACAGAGCAGAATCCAGCTGATCACTTATCTAAGTCAAGTTCTGAATACATTTTATAACTTTGTGATATCACGTTGCTTATTCATTCATTCAATATTGAACTAAGAATCTCTTCCAGGAGCATACAACGTGATCCTTCAAGGTGCTAAATTTGTAGTGGAAGAAGACAAATGAAAGAAGTGATCATTGCAAGGTAGCGTGATCACCGCAACAGTAGACAGAAACACAGAGGCGGGCACCAGATCCAGACAGGAAAAATTGCCAGAAAAAAAAGGTGTGTAGGCAGAGTGGTGTTTGTGATTAGAGGCAATCTACGAATCACATTATTTTGAGATAGTTTAATTGAACTATAAAAATAGAGACCGGTTCCCGCTCACTGGCTGAGCGTGGTGCGGGTGCAACACCGAGGGTTGCGATCCCGTTACCGGTCAGTAAAAAAGACAAAAAAAAAAATGCCCAAAAGCCTCACTGTGGGAATCATCACTCGAGTGAGTTGCTCTCTCTGCTATGCCTCTTACCGAGGGAACAGACAATGCAATGCTGACAAAAGGGCAGGAACCAAGCAGGTGAGGAAGGCACAGGACATGATTTCAAGGTTCTCATTTTTCAGTGTGCTCCAGTTTACACCCCTGGGATATATAAAAGTGGAGACGTGCTTAAACACAAAATTTCTAATCGTAGAGTCACCTAACTAGCTGACTTCCAATTAATATGGGAAACTCAGATTTTTAACAGTTGGAACTCAGAGGGTTCACTGTTGGGCATCAATGAGTAGTTCAAACATACTGTGCGACCAAAAAACAAAACTTTATTTTCAAAAAGTAAAGATTTTTACAAAAAACTTGGCAAGCTTTAAGCTTTTGAAAACATGTTACACTGAATTATCTTTCTCCAAAGAATCAAATTAAAAGGCAACAGAATTTGATCAGGCCACTGAGAATTATTGGTAAGTGAGGCCTTCAAAGAGTGCACTTTTTTCTTTAGAGTTTCCAAGTAATCATTTTCTCAGTTGAATTTCCTTATGTTATTATAACCTTTGACATCTTTTGCCTACTGTCTTACACGAATGAATGCCAAGACATACTTGGAAAAACAAGCCCACCTATAGGATAGAAGCAAGACACAAAGTAGTTGAGATTTGAAAAGAAGTTGAAGCTTCCAGTAACTCTGCCCAAAAAACTCACCACACTTAATGGTGCACGAGCAGGACTGTACTTTCTATACCTGTCATTTTCCTTCATTTCAGCAACGTGACCAGCAAGCTAATTTTGGGTGGAAACATGGAACAAATTTTCTCCTTGGAGCATTTGTATAGTCCTTTTCTAGGAC